TCCCTGTGGTGCTAAAGACCTGGAGCAGACCTTGGCTAGTTTGACCTGGGGACTCCAGGAAACAGTGGCTAAACCAGAAACCTCCGAAAAAATGGAGACTATGCGGGGGCAGGCATAACTAGTGAGGACGGGCCATTCAAGTAGGTAGGTAAGATGAGTTCAACGTTGGCTTTACTTTTAAAGAGCGACTATTTTATAAGGTTTATGGGAAGGTCTTTTTCCTTGTGCCTTCAGAATTTTGTGTGATAAATCCGAGAACTAATACAGGCATGATAACGGTGCACCAATGGTGTGAGTGCGTGGAGAAAGTAACTGGATTGCACCTTCCCTGGCGAGCTCTAGCACCGAAGCTCAGCACACTTCATGAAGATGGAAAACATGTACTTTATAACAACATTATTGCCGTGGTGCAAGTCGGGAACGCAAAACAGCAGGTGAGTTCTATACATTTCCTACATTATTCAGAAGCTACCAACGCTTTTCAGTTGAACACCTATATGGAGTTTGTTTCACCACTAATATCTTGTATGCCGTTCTCATTACGCGGCAGCTCATATTGGTGTGTGTTGATGCATGTAGTTCACATGATCCATGAATATCTCTACTGCGTTAATGGATTTCAACGCATGTGGTTTCCTTGGAGGTTCACTCGGATGTCATTCTCTTCATTGCTACAAGTTATTATTATATTGTGACAGAGCTTGGTCTAGTGTTGCCGTTAGAAGTGCCCTGTAATGCAAATTGGATAGGTCGCTTTTCCGATCGTACACTAGGCGTTACCATGCTCTTCATCACTTCGAGGTTGGAAAATTTGTACCAAATCTGTCCGAGAGGATAAAAACTTTCACTTGATACATCGTTAGGCAACCGCAAGTCGTTGTGGAGACAGAAGTGCATTCTATGACTTTTGTGAAATCGAATACATTTCCGTATCCCTCATAGACCGTTCAACGCCGAGCGCTCTTTCATTCTCTTAGATTCCCCGATTGTCAAATTCACCATTTCGATTCGATGCTTAGTCTCCGACTGATGATTGGAAAATTGCTCTCACATTGTGAATAGCGCAAACCAGTTTTAAATGACCGAAATGTTAATACGCTACGTGGTACTTAGGACAAGGCGTGAATAATTGTTGAGTGAAAATGTTAGCACATTGAGGTGGTGCGTGTATCTTCTGGTGACCTATTTCGGACCCTTAAAATGGTTCCACAATGCTCACTGTTTTAGTGCTAATAGTCACTTATTTGTGCGTCACTAACTGAAAGTCCTAGGCATATGTACAGTGGGACGTCAAAAATCGCTGGTCTGCTCATTATCGTTCACCCTGCTTATGGACTTACACGCACCACGACAACAGGCTTTCCCTGAGAATTAACGTTAATGAAGGACTGGTACTAAATGAAAGAATTCTATCACATAGGCCTTATCACGTTGTGGTTCATAAGGTCTTCCACAGTGCGTTACTTTATCAGCTGATATGTCTTGCAGCTTCATAAAGATTCTAACTGATGATTTTCGCGTTGTACACGTAACGCAAAGGAGTGTCTCCATAGTGGGCCCTCTATCTGTCGTGTGCGTATCTAGAATGGAGTCCTTCGCGTCCTACTCATTCAGTATGTGATAATGCTGCTGCAACTACTCCATCAAGGGACGTATTCTCACTGCAAAGTTTACCAAGAGACGGCCGACCACCGAGTACTGGTACTGGACCTGTTGTTTGCTAATACACGCTTCTTTCTATGATCATGGGATAAATGGGTTGTTTGCAAACCTTCACCATTGTGAGTTCCATTGTGAGTTCGACTAGGCTTTCACAACTTTGCATTTAAGATCTTCGTAATGGATAGTAGAGATTCGTTTACCAATGATCTGCTTTAACAATGTATAACTTTTTATCTACTACCTATTATTTTTCATGATGGGGTACTGTGCGAAATACATTCACAATGATGCTGAGATATCTGCTTTCTACTTTCAAATGGATATATGTAAAGATTATTTTCTATACTCGAACTTCTGACTTTCATGGGTCTGCAGGAGACAAATCTGCGAAGTTAACTCTATTGTCTGGATTTCAGATGTACTGCCTCAGCACTGAATTCTTCGCTACAGAAAAGGCGCAGTTCCTACTTACAGGATCGTGACGTGGTTGAAACACTGTACAGACACAAAAGCACTCTGGAGACGTTGTTCCGATTCATGGACAAAGACAATTCGGGCAAGGTGTCGATGCAGGAATTTATCGACGCGATCCAGGTGAGATGATCTTCTTCTCAAAATAATAAAAACTCTCTCAGTAATGAATGCCACACTAGTACTGTCATACAGATCACTTCTGCTCATAGCCAGGACATACTACTTGCGAACAGCATTCTACTTCACCGAAACAATCGAATATGTGGGAAAGCTAACCATTGAACAATGAATAAACCTTGACAGTACTATTAGTAATGATCAACAACACTAGCAATGTTATCATTGTTAATATTAAAACGGCATTATTAGAGTCCAACGGAATCACAGATATGACTGATATATACTTAATGTAAAAGGGAGCATGTGGCACAGTGATCGGAAGCGCCCTGCAACACAAACGTGAAACCGATCTCCGCGCCCATGACCCACCAAGCCTTCCATCCCTCTGGGGTCGGCAAACTGGTACCAAACTCGTTTGGGAGGATAGCAGCACTGGCTCGTTACATCGGTAGGCTCCCGCGAGTCATTGTAAAAGGCCAGGTATGCATTCAATCACCTTCAAACGATGAAGTCGAATGAATGGCGCTTCCCTCGGGTATGGATCAACACCCAAAGCTTTATGCTTCATCCTTTATATTAAATATAATCCTTTAAACGCTGACACATTCAACACACGAAATCTTTATGACACTGTTAACGCACGGATCCTTACCTTCGACATCTACATAGGAATAACTCGTGGGTCTGACTGGATACGTTGATGTGCACATTTTGTGTAACTCTAAAAATTCATTTGATGTATGACTAGTTTCCACAAAGAATCGTTCTGCTGCTAATATTGCTTCCATTTGATTAGTAACGTTGCTGTAGAAGCAAAACCTTTCCCCTAAATTCTCAATAAACCAATGGCATGTCGTACCTAGGTTGTCATCTCGAGTTTCTTTTCGATTGAAGAAATGTTTGCTTCTTAACGACTAGGTAGTTCCCTCTAGGACGGCGTCTGTCGTAAACTTGCTCACAACTTTACTTTCGGATAGATATGTCGAACTTCTTCTTAACTTGGTTCAAACTGCCTTTGGATAACCTATGTTGCTGTGCACCGTTTTTCAACATATAGAAATACCTTTTATAAGACAAACTGGGAAAGCGTCGGCGTTGAGAGATGCCCTCAGGGATGCGCCATGCATTCGACTTCATTATGCTTCGCTTGGAGGCGAACGAATGCATAACCGTCCTTTAAAATGAATCGCTGTAGCCTACCGCTGTTTCGAGTTAGTGTTGTTATCCTCTAGACAAGTCTGGCACTAATTAGCCGACCCCGGGCGGATGGAGGGCTAGGTGGGTTTGGAGCACGGGAGTCGATCCCACATGTATTGCAGGGCACCACCGACCATTGCGCCACAAGCGCCCCATCGGAAATCTTTGTGAGATACAAATATAAGTATGCGAAATACACGTATACAAATACACGCGCCATAAAGTCGACATAATTCGGTATAATTTCCTTTATAGATACTTGGGAAGTACACGAAACGGTCGCTGGCTCCCGACTACGTGGCCCAAATCGCTGAAAGTATCGACTTCAACAAGGACGGCTTCATTGACTTGAACGAGTTGCTCGAGGCATTCAGATTAGTTGACCAGCAGAATGGTGTTTAACTAATTGCTTCCTTTCGCCTTGTTCTTCTTGATGTGACTCCGCCGATGCGTAATTCGCTTACGCAGAGGACAACAAAACCAGAAAAGAACAGGTAATATGTATGTTATTATCCACAATATTTAGTATCTCACTAGCAAAAGTGTCTATGACTGCTATTTTCATGTGATAAAGTACACCTCTAGTGTGCTAGCTCCAAGCCCTAAAGCGATGTACGCCAAAATGACAACCGATACATGCAGAATTTTTTGATGGCAATCCCAGCTATCAACCGCCAAAGTTAACTTCAAACTTAGTGTTTTCACGAGGAATGTGAATAATTTCACATCTGCACAACATAACATTCCTTTCAGTCGATCAAATTTCATTCCATGTTAATAATATGATATCACTCATTCTTAAGCTTATCGAAAATGCCTTTGCGATCGTACTTCTTGCCCGTATGATTTACCTCGAACCATTAAGAGAGCGTAAATTATTCTAGAACAGTTCTTTATTAAATAAAAAACTTCTGACAATGTGTTCACTTCGATTTCGAAAACAGCATTCTCGAAACGTCATGTAAAACAGCGAAGACGAAAATGGCAGTAACATGACGGAAAATCAGAAACTGTATTTGCTGAATAAATTAATTAACCTAAAAATTATTAAATGCTTTTGCTAACACAACAGAATCAGAGTAAAACTCCATCATTTAGCAAATTGTAAGAATAACTACCTCTAAATTTGATTAATATCGCTCTCGTAAAAACTCTATCAGTGATAAATGTTTTGGTAGCTACGAAATTGTAAAAAAAAAAAATTAAGCAGAAAACGTTGCTGAGCAATACATTCAACTAGTAAAAATAAGGAGATGACGAAAGAAATGGATATACGAATGAATGAATGAAATGAAAAATACGGCTCATTATAGAGTGCGTGACATATTTAGTAAAGAAAGCAGAGAATTTCTATACCATACCAGATGTTAACAATGTTGAAACATAAAAAAAGGTTAGCCAATATGCACCACGTTTTTTGAACTTCAACGATGAATAATGAGTTAAAATAACAATGATCTGAGAATAAAAAACTCGGCTATGCAGTCATGCCCAGTGAAAAGACAAACGCAATGGAAAGCTTTCGAAAGGCGTTTTAGAAGCAGAGTTTAGGATTTCAAATGTTGGGTGGTTTGACGAATTTGGTCTAAATAGAGTTTTACACGTTCCGTTCGTCGGACTCGACCTTTCCGATCAACTAACGTCTCAAGATTAACACGAGGAGATATGAGGTTCTAAAAAAATACGTGTTCTATAACTAATGATTTCTGCTAGTAACAAAAATTACCTTTCGCAGAGGAGTGGGAAGGGGACAAATCGGTCTTGCATCATAATTTCTTTCCCACTGAATCATCTCATATGAGAAATACGAAAAAATAAAATGAAGTGATATTTGCTATATAAAGCCAAACGCATGCCTCAACTAGTTCTTCTACAATATCGGACTCATCGTACTCCCAAGAGGGTCCATTGTTCTCTTCAGAACATGTTGCAGGAAGCGCCTACAAATATCAAAATATGTAGGCGGAAACTTTTGACGGTACCTATACCTAGAGAAAATTTTTACAGAGGTTTCTAGTACAGTTCCAAGTTCATTTGGTACTAGTTCATCCGATGTTTCGTAGACGCTGTCTTCATCAATAAACGTTGAAGATCCGCTCTTAATGTAGAATTTACGCGAAATACTAGAAGAGAAATTACTAAATCCTTCAGTTCTTTTTATCTCTCTCTCTTCATACATACGTACATATATATATATATATATATATACATACATACATATATATATATACATATACATATATATACTTACTGTTTTCTGAGTACCAATGGAAGATGATGGTTCGGCTCCAATTATATCATCACAGGGATCATCTTCACTTCCTAAGTTTTCCAAAGCTGTGATGTATCCGTCGCAATCGCCCTCCTTAAAAAAAAGCTAATTCAACTGTAAAACCAATTTTGTCAATCAAATGTGAAATGTGAAGGGGATATAGGATTCGTGGAAACGCAATTTAAATAAGACTGCAATCTCGAAGAGCTTGTCAGGACACAACACCATTTCTCCACAATATATGTTCTACGCCAAACACATAGTGAATCTGAAATCCTACCGCACTCTTGCACAGTGACCTTTAACACTATTAAGCACAATACATTTTGTGCGTCCCAACAAACCACTCGTACAATGTAGAGAACATATAAAAAACTAATGAAATGACAGCGTTAGTTTTATTTATGAAGAGACATTTACCTTCCAAGAAACACTGATTTTCGGGAACAAACTAGGAAACGACAACAGCAGCAAACAAATCTAATAAACCAATCAAAAACTCTTACTAGGAGAGGTTCCAGTAAATGCATTACTTCGAAAATACCAAGTAATACATGTACGTAAACATCTGCTAATAATAAACCATACCAGGCTGCCAAGATTGTAATAATTTCGAAATACTTGACCCTTTGAAAAAGTGCAGCAGGACCAGTTTATCTCTTTTGATTCGATTATTCATCTTGATCTACATAAGGATATCTATCTATCTAATTTATATCAAAGAAACACACCTAGGGATGGGAGTCTGAGCGGAGTAACAGCGAATAGATATAAGACCGTAACCATAACTAAGGCCGTGAACGGTGGTAGTAGCGGTGGGAAGTCTGAATCTGTTAAATCGAAAACTTGGATAATTGGATACTTGGACGGCTCGTCCTCACTGGTTGTGTGGGCTCCAGAATAATCTCCATTTTTCGGAGTTTTGCTGGTTTAGCCATTGTGTTTCTCTCGCGTCCCGAGGCCAGCCTGGCCAAAGTCTGCTCAGGTCGTCACCACCGCAGGCAGTTGCCGCCCCTGTGGATTAGAGGGAGATTTCGACTAGTTTGATATAAGATCTTGGTAATCGTTTAGGTAGGCTTTCTGATGGCAACGCCGGACTCCTTTTCAGCTTGGGAGACCCTGCGGGGACGAATGCCCCCACTGTGCTTCACAGTCCAACACACAGCAACACCTTCCAGCCACGATGAGGCGGTAAACCGGTGGAACGAAATCGAAAACTAGCTTTAGCAATGTAAAGAACAAGTTGAAAATTGACCATAATAGCGAAGTACTAGAAAGCAGTAAACTATGCTTTCAGATAGTTTTATGACAAGACATTTTTTTCTCACTACATGTTCTCTCAGATCTGGTAAATTGCGTATACCTCTTCCCATACAAATGGATAATTACCACTCTATCTAAAATTACTGAGATTTAACATGGTGCCTGCAACCTAAGGACACCACATAGCTTCGTATTCAACTAAAGAAAGTTAAGGATGATAATTGCCCAAGATCTATTTCTTTATTTAAAAAGGTACAAAAAAATCGTACTAATATATGCTCACAGGGAAATTACCACCAAGAATGCTGTCAACAATGACCCGTTCTGTTGAAAGCCCTGTGGAGTATTCTTCGATATCAGGGACTGAAGCGAAATCGCAGCTTGCAAGCCATCTGCTGACCGTGGGATGATCTGGAACTCAAAACATTGCGAGAAAGTATATTTTCCAGAAACAGATATTCATTCAACCTTCCTCTGAACGAATGATACGTCTCCATACTCATAGGTTTAGATGAAGCTTTTACAAAACTAATGTTGGGTTGTTTGTTGTCCTGTCGGCTTGTCTCAGAAAAGTACTAGTACACTCCTATGACGTAGAAGTGATGTGACATACTGTCACAACCTCAGAACACTGGCAGTTTAAGCCAGTCGACATGTTGATAAAACGAACAATGAAGAGATAAAATAAGAAACCTTACCTTCGGCCACGGAACTTTTCTTCCGTTTCATGCTAAAGCAGTTGCCCATGCCGAGCCAAACAACCATCGACCGCTAATGGTCTAACTAATGAAATATATCTAATATAACTATTAATGAAAACAGAAAATAAACGAGTCACATACATTTACAAAAGAAAACAAGATACGTTTGCGTACATCACTTGAACTATCCACACATTCCGAATGCAAGAAACAATTTATGTATTGCGAAGCGACGAAAAATGGGGAAATCAATGAAGGGAGACACAACGAAGTCACCATAATTGCCCATAAATTTACAGGAACGATCTAATAAAGAAATATAACCCCGAATTACGTAATGGTACTATCGACAAGGATTGGTGAAAGAATATAAAGATAATAGAAACGACAAACAAAGAAACTAATGATGCATTTATATTAATACAGGGATGATATAAATGGATGTGGTTCATCACGTCGACATGGTCTTCGAAGCTTACTATTTAACTTCGGTTCAGTCATGGTCTTGATCTTCAACGCTGCTGTACGTTTTCGTCTTACCTAAAACATTTCAACGGTCGAAATGAACATACGATGAATATGTGTAGAACTAATGTTATACCAACTTAAAATGGCAAAACCAGTGTATCTTAAAGATATACAATGATGAATAAACGTACGGTCATCAGTTTGCTAAATTTAGGAGCATATCAACTGTACCACCCTTTATCCCGTTGACCGCCGAGTGACCCGAGAAGGCCACACTAAACTTTCCTTTCGCGTGCAAAAGTAACTGAGTGAGCTCTGTTCGCTCTAGTGAAAAACTCTGACCATAGGAATCGGTGGCCTTCTAATAGTATCTTCGACATCCTAAGGAATACAATCAATAACAGTTCATCTCCATCGGTTGTTGTTCATATACACATCTCTCCGGCCTACCCAATTCTCGACACCTCGCTTGTGTGATTCGTGATACTTCTAGTATCAAGCTCTCGAATGTTTGTGTTCGATAACGCGGAGTGATCGGCCATATCTTCTTTCTAGCGACTAGGCTTCTGAAACGTTCATGGAAGGCCGGAAGAATCTTAGAGTTGAAAAGGTAAGCATGGTGTCACCTATTCGTAGTGCTCTTCACAACATTCCCAATGCTCTTGAAGGTTTCCCAATTTGCTTGCTTCACCATGCTTAACTCTGGAAGTATGCTGTTCATCATGTTGACGTCCCAACGTAGATAGCCGTAACTGATGCATTCGGAAATAGTCGCCCCGTTGAGGCAAAATCGAGCACAGGAAACCAATTTGTCCCTCACGAGCATGGTTTATGGGAGATTTACCCGAAGACTAACCTTTCCGCAAGCGCCGTCAAAGGTGGCAAATCCCGACTGCCTCATGCACGATGTACAAAAACGATGCCATCAGCAAGACGAAAATGGTGTAATTGCCAACCATCGATTTCCACTCCCTGTTGTCTCATTCCAGTGCCCCCATGACGTTCACGCGGGTGTCGTTAAACAATTTTAGCGAGGTCGTATCGCCTTGCCTAACCCCTCTTTTCACGTCGATGTTCGTCGTAGAATGTATATACATTGGTTATGAAGTGTTCACATAGCTCACAAAGAATCTTTATTCATTGAATAGTGCCTCTCTGGCTTTCCACGGCTTCCATGAGTTCTTCTATGTCACATAAGTCAAAAGCTTTTTTTAAAACGATCGAAAGTGAGATAGAATGGTGCCTTTTACTCTTGCGATGCTTCGCTCAGTCTTACTATATTGTGTGGATGCGGTTCATCGTACTGAACTGCATTCTTTTCGAAACCCTGATTGCTCAAACAGCTGTCGCTAGCCCATATTCTGTCAATCTTGTTTAGAATGACGTAAAGGAAGTTTGAAGACGACAGATAGAAAGCAGTTTGGGCGATAGTTGCCAATATCGTGGAGGTCACCGTTCTCAAACCATAACACAGTCTTGCTGGTCTTTCAATGTATAGGAACCTTGCAATCTGACAAATAACCTAAGAATAGCCAAGCCAGTGCGTTTATGAGAACATGCGGAAGGTTATCCAGATGTTTAGATCTTATCCTGTCCGGATTTGGTGTTGTTCGATTTTTCACCGACGAAATAGAATGTTGGACTTCGAAAACGAGAACCGGTGGTACAACATATCCCTTTACTTCACATGAGGGTAAGAGGACCTGGCCATCGAAGAAATCTGGGTAGTAATCGTGAATAATTTTCTCCACTGACTATCAGGACGCTACAACTGTTCTGTCTAGACGTCGGAGTGCAATCATTTTGGTTTTGTAATTGGCGAAGCTTCGATAAGTTTTGCGAATGCTTTTCCCAGCCTCTGCACCATCGACCATTACTGCTGCTCTTCTCTCTTTAAGATCTTCTTTTATCACCTGTCTGCGTTGCTTTGCAACTTCGGACGTGAGTTGGCGGTTGCCTGCTGCTCGTCCGATTTCACGACGATAGCGTATAAGCTCGAGTGTTTCTGAAGACAGACGTCTCCTGGTGACTTTCGAACTCTCAGCTTTCAGAGCACTAACATGAAGATGTTGAATTACCCGATCTTATTCAACGTCGATGTCATCGAGGACGGCATCTTCCCAAGAGCCGACTAATGAACTGGATAAATCCCAGTTTACGATGGTTTTAGAGCTTGGTATTTTAAAATTTGGCAGAACAGCGATATTAGTTAGGCAAAACATCCGATTTCTTATGACGTGGTCTATTTCGTCATAATACTCCCCACTACAGGACTCCCTCTACCAAGCTTCTGGAGTTGCGATTTACCATGGATGGTCTTGTTCATCACGGTAAACTTAGCTGCTCACCCTGCTCGTTCCATTCTAATCGGTGGGTCCTAATGTGATGTTCTTCTGAATCCAATATTAGCGTTAAAATTTCTAATAATAATCTTAAAGAATGTATGGTCTTCTCTACAGAACTTTTTCAAGTTCATACAAAATGCTTCGACTTAGTTTTCGTCCTAGCTTGATGTCGGTGCGTAGACGACGAAGATTATTTAAATGAGACGCCAGCTAGTTCGCAACCGCCTGTACGACCGTCTATGTACAACAAAAAACTGCATAATTTGCCCAAATGGTAGAGATGGTGATTGCATGAGTTCGGGTACAGTCTATCTGATCTCTTGTAAAGCGTGCGGGCACGAATATGTTGGCGAAACGGGTAGACCGCTCTGCGTCCGCATAAAAGAACACCTAGTCGGTAAATCTAAACTAAAACACAATACTCCACTAGGCGCGCATAGGATGCAAGAACACAACGGAGAAGATTTTGAGGTAGGAGTCACTATCCTTACGCAGGAATCGAAAACATCAGCGCGAAAAACTCTTGAAGCGTTTTGGATCAATGCCAAAAATTCAAAAATGAACCGCAAGGAGGAGTGTCTTGTCATCACGCGTGACCTAGCGCCATACCTCAGGCTGATCCAATGATCTGACATGGACCCAGTTATCGACCATGTATTACTCTGTGCGGCGGCTATCCACCAACTAACTTAAATACTTACAACAAATAAACGGTAGGTGTTTGAATGAAGCTGTTTCTTATGCGAATACAAATCGATTTATCAAGTTTTATCTGCTAGGGTTATGAAAGTGTTTGGNCGGGTAGACCGCTCTGCGTCCGCATAAAAGAACACCTAGTCGGTAAATCTAAACTAAAACACAATACTCCACTAGGCGCGCATAGGATGCAAGAACACAACGGAGAAGATTTTGAGGTAGGAGTCACTATCCTTACGCAGGAATCGAAAACATCAGCGCGAAAAACTCTTGAAGCGTTTTGGATCAATGCCAAAAATTCAAAAATGAACCGCAAGGAGGAGTGTCTTGTCATCACGCGTGACCTAGCGCCATACCTCAGGCTGATCCAATGATCTGACATGGACCCAGTTATCGACCATGTATTACTCTGTGCGGCGGCTATCCACCAACTAACTTAAATACTTACAACAAATAAACGGTAGGTGTTTGAATGAAGCTGTTTCTTATGCGAATACAAATCGATTTATCAAGTTTTATCTGCTAGGGTTATGAAAGTGTTTGGCTGAGTAGATCGCATCTCAATTTGACCTTTCCAGGCTCTGAAGAAGGCGAAACCGCCGAAACGTCAGCAATTGTGTTCTAATAAATTCTATATTAACAACCTCGTGTCTGCTTATTGATGAAAAACATTGAATTATTTAAATGTTCCAATGAATCGATAGCAATGACCAAACTAGTGCTGACGAGAACGCCAACAGCGCCTACTTTTCTATTGTCCCATGTTCCAAAAACACTTCCTCTCCGAGATTACAGAGGCGTTGAATGGGCGATGCCCACGTTTCGACCACTCCGATGACGTCGTACCTAGTCTTCTTGCCTACACGATCAAGTCTTCTATCGAGAACTCAGGTGCAACTGCTTGTACATTGTAGGTATAGATTGTCACCTTAGTTCTTTGTGATTAGGCAGCCTCCTTACACTCGTCCACGCTGCATCATTCGGATTGTTTCGTTTGATACCCACGCATAGGTTGCTGAGCCTCAAACATGGAGCTACGTATACTCACGAATAACTTTCCGGCCTTTTCTAGAGAAGATGGAAATCTTATTTGTTCTAATCAACTCCTGACCGACTCCCATATACTTCACTGTCACCTGACTGTAGGCTTTTGGCCAAATTGACTTATAGAATACAATCTGCATAAACGAGAGCATATCCACACATGCACGCATAGATAAATCCTCGAAAAACAGTCCATTCCCTGGATCTACCTGTGTCTTAGAGAAGCATAAGGTCGATTTTAGTCCGCGATTGACCTCCTATCCGCCACGTGGAGATGCGCCACGTTACGTCTCGCCTAACTGGCATGAAATCTATCCATGACAGATATACCATGGTGTCCGTATTTCATACATATGTCTACATCATTTCCATCATTTTGTCCCGATAATATAATTTTTGAAACCATCGGTGTCATTTCGCTAGTAAGATATTCACTGTTATTGAGTGGACACAAGATCACTGAAGGCCTTCTGCTTCGCATGACTGAGAATTTTTTTTTATTACAGAATTTTCTAGTTCATGTATAGAAAACAGGTTGGTGCACCGATAAGTCCTAGATGACACACACGTGCCCAAAAAAATGCTCCTTTCAACTTTGGACAGAAATGGCTTTGCTCATCACCTGTATCACCTGTAGTCCCGTTGATCGTCGAATGACTCGAGTGGGCACCAGTAAATCCTCCATTTTTCCATGTTGCGTGCAAGAGTAGCCCAGTGGGTTCTGCTCGCTCTAGAAACTCGTTGAGTATCACATTTTTCTTCTAGGTTTATCGTAAGGAACTCTGTCCACCGAGTCAGTGGTCTTCCTGGAGTACGTTTGGTATTCCGAGGAATCCAGTCACTAACGGCTCTTGTCCGTCGGTTGTCATTCATACGCACTACGTGTCCGGCCCACCTTATCTTCCATTGTTTGGCGTACAGAACGGCATCTTTGATTTTTGATCGTTGACGGAGATCGGAGCTTCGGATCCCATCCCTTATTTGTGTGGAACGGGATACTCCTAGCATCCTCCTTTCGACTGCGCGTTCGATAACGTTGAGTGATCTTTCATCCTGCTTACGTAGCGACCAGCTTCCTGACGTTAGTGTAGGAAGTACCGTTGAGTCGAAAAAGTGTGCACGGAGTCGGGTCTTTTTTGTTCCCTTCACTACATCCTCGATGAAGGCCCTCTAAGCCGCTTGTTTCCTTCTGCTCAACTCTGGAGCTAAGTCGTTCATCATATTGATTTCCCGACATGGATAGACATAACTACAGCGTTCTGAGATGTTCGTTCCGTTGAGCGTGAATGAGGCATACGAAACCAATCCGTTCTTCATGAACATGGTTTTTGTGAGATTTAGTCGAAGACCAATCTTACCGCAGGCTTTATCAAAGTCGGCAAACATACGTTCCGCTTGGCTAATGTTTGGTGTTATAAGGACGATGTCATCAGTAAAGCGAAGATGGTGTAACTATTGACCATCGATTTTCACTCCCATATTATCCGATTCCAATGTTCGGATGACGTTCTGGAGGGTGGCGGTAAATAATTTTGGCGAGATGGTATCGCCCTGCCTAACCCCTCTGTTGACGTCAATGATAATATCGTTGTAGAATAGTGAGAATAGTGGCTTTGCTCATAGTGAACTTTATTACTTGAACAAAAAAAAATATGTAGATCCTTTGCAACACGGCTCAAGACACTGAAAATTCTAAGAAATTTAAGTCTATCACTTTTTCTAAAATTTATATTCTAAACGAATTTGTGGAAAACATCCTAGAAAAAAGAACATACTACAAGTATCATAAAGCAACGTCTCTTTTAACATATGCTGAGTACGCAATTCCTCGTATATATTTATTTTCTCTGTCGTATTACCGGACTTACACATTGTGCGGTTTCCTGCATTTTCATTTGATTTGTTGTCTCGCACTCGTCCTCCAAAGAGTTCTCATTTGCGTATGGGCTCAGCTAAAACTTGAGAACGTTAACTTCTTCATAAATGTCGTCGAATGCTGGTCGAGTTGATTCTCCCTAGAACCCTGAGACAGTTTTCATATTATGCTGTCAGGTTCTCTGACCTTCGTGGAACAAAGGAAGCTTATCCCAAATAAGTTTATTACTAATGTGCCAATCCCCGACAGATGAAGGAGTGATTTGCCTGGAGTGGAGACAAACGAGCGACCATGTATGCCAGTATTGCAAGGCATCTCAAACCGCTGTGTATTTCTCGCCATCAAATATAGTTTTGTCGAAAAATACGCGGAAACCAAAGCGAATTAGGGGTCGTCCTCAATATGAACAACAAACATGTCCACCTATTCCACTTCCAGTTCTTCAAAAATTTCCAAATTCCTTCCCTTACATATGTTCATTCGCTACGTCGTTTACACATCGCATCCGTCTTATTGTACTCGAAAAGGTGACATCGACAGAACGGACGTTTGAAACTTTCGATCAACATGTCTTCAACAAGTAACTTTACTATGAACAGTAGTGAATTGCCAAAAAGGTCCCACATTACAATATCTTCTCCGACGACTCCGAGTCAATCGCCAGAAAGATTAACCAAGTAATGGATAATCGATTTAAATCAATACAGTTTTAAAGATGGAAATACGGTTGAAACAGCTAAAAAAAACGTTTACTAACCCCATGTGATCAAATCCCTTAACGAAGATTCTTGTCGACTAAGATTAGCAGACTTTGTTAAACTCATTTGCAGGTGAGGATGTCAAGGAGACAATGAAACAGCTACGGTATAACTATACAGTCAAGATAAAAGTTCATAAGGATTTTTATATCTCACGTTCGTTTTGACAGCGAAGAACATTCTTTGGATGATACCTCACAAAGTTTGAGAGAAGAGGACTACTATTATTACGAAGTGGATCTTTGTGACACAGGCAATGGTTAATATATTGTCTATGTAGGAAAGTGTTAAAATTCAAACTGATCCAATATTTAGACTACACCGAATCCTATATGGGCGATTTTCATGATCATTTAGAAAACACTGAAGACAGATTGAACGCTATATACAGTTACTCACCTACCTTATTTCATGTTATAGAAAAAAATTAAAGTTGGCTCCTCACCAAAGAAAAAGCAATAATGTCACAAAACTATCCCTGTGTGCATAATGTTTAACCATAAACTCTCAAGACACAAAGGTCTGTTCGATCCCTACATAGGATTGATGACATTGTCAAATCCATCCAAGTCCAAAAGCTTTAGTGCCGTAACGTCATTCCCTAGAATAATGTAAACCAAGTTTTTCGATTACAAGAGCAAGCCATACTCCATGGTTTTGGAATTCTAAGAAAGAAGATTTCCTGCTTCGGCTCGACATGTACCAGCATGTGAACGACTTTAATCGGGTAACGTTCTCCAGTTATCTATCACCTCACCATAATGAATGTTCACTGATGTAAGTGTGACATATAGCAGAAACAATAACTTGGTTGAATCAATTATGCTGCAAAGGAGTACGGATCGTCCATCCGACAGCCACACTATGAGAAAGTGCTTGTCAAAAACTCACCGCCAGAAACAACACGGACTCCTAGAAAACTTTAGTCGCAACCAAAACTAAGCAGCAAAACTTTAGGTCAAACGTGCACCCGATCTAGAGCACGGCGCCATCAAAGCCCCCATTTTGTCATTCACATGGTGATATCTCATCGAAAACGTTGATGGTGCATGATATAGCACGTAGTCGTTCTTCCTAAAATAATGACACGAAAGACACTTTAAATACCAGTCAATTTGTTTGAAGAGTATACTCTACAGGTTTCTCACGAAAGCAATCCTATTACGTATATCAAAGATTCAGTGGAAATGACACAACGGAACAAGTACAAGTGCAGAACTTGTAGCCAATCGCTATAGAGATTCTATCACAATAACACTACTTTTCCATCGCGCCTTTATTATTCCCATCTTTAACACGTTCTCATCACCTCTTAGTTTCTCGTCGGTCGTGTTGAACACAGAAATAGACTGGCTTCACACGTGTGCCCACTAGAAAACGATACGTGTACGCTCGCTTCCTCTGGCGAAATTCTCTGTGGCGGAAGGAACAAACTCGTCCGAAGGCTTCATGTAAACTGTGAAGCGTACAAAATAGATTTTCTCCGTTAACACCTGGCATCTGTATAAAAAACTTCTTTCTTGCAAAAGAAATAGCCAGAAAGAAGCTGAAATCTGCATTGAAATCAATGCCTAAAGTCACTAAGTTATGGTGGGTGGCTTATCTCTTTCTATGGAGACTTAGTAGAAAATTAACATTTATCAATTATATCTTGTTGAGGGATAACAATGAAGCGTTGTCAATGGTAAATACTTTACCGGAGAAAGAAAGAAATAGTAAGATGAAAAAACCGTAAGATGACACAATCACAACCAAAAAATGAAATGTAGTTAAAAACTCGTGGTAGGATAATGAATGAGTTGAGACTAAAATAAATAAGGCATTGAATGGACTGATCAAGAGTGGATCAAAGGCAACCTAATTTTGAGGCTGTCAAAGAAGCCATAAGTACATTAGGGGACGCAAATCCCCGCAATTCCGAGTTCTTCGGGACCTTTTCTACGCATATGAAACCACAGCTAACACTTCAACTTCACCGAGTGCGGCACTAACTTCAAGGCGCTACAACAATGCTTCTCTCACTGCAACGTATAACACACTACCTTCACGATTAACGGTTATGGAAAATGAAAATCCAAGTCTGTGGAACGAGCAAAAAGATAAAAGATAGAGCGCGCTGTATTGATCGACCACCTCGAGATACGCCATGTATCAGAGAGGTAGCTAGCTAGATGCACATTTGGATTACCCAATGGCTTGCGGATCTAACGATGCAACAGGTCAGTTTTACTTTTGCTTGCTACTTGCAGACTCCAGAGAAAGGGCTTGGTTGGCCTAATGCGAGCTATGGAAACAATGAACAGATGTGTAGTGCAGGGCACTTTTAAGCAATGCGCTATATGAGCTATAGGAGAGGAATCTATTCAAGCATTTTACACAAATTTTATGGGCGCCAAACAGCATGCGATGACATAGTCTCTGAGATAATGACATAAAATGTAGCTCACGAAGTGGATACCAGCTGATTATAAGTCGTTTACATCTACCGACCCATACCATTTAAAAGGAAAGAGAATTATACAAGAAAAAAAAAACGAATGGAAACGATATTAAACATACTGCATCTGACTCAGACCACGGATTTTTTGGAGTTTCTGAGACATGTCTTGGAGGAAAAGCGGAAGATTCTTGTGTAGCTAAGAGAACTCCGTCCGAGTAAGAAAATTCTGCAGAAATGGTCGATAATTTAAACTCTGAGCAACGGTGATATGAGGTCCTATCAAACAAAACTTTACAATTATCGCGACAAAGCTATGAGAAAAGGGAAGAATAAAATTCAACATTTCTTCCCCTTCACCAAAGTCCAAACTGCCAACCAGATACAAGAGATTCTTAATAAGTCATCCTCTCCACAAATAGAAGGGATGAAAATTTTGAACGCACCTTGAAAAAAAGCAATCTCAATCAAAATTTTGACCAACCCTTTCCATCAGCGCGACATCTAAAGCATTCACTTCGCCGGGATTTCTTCTTACTGCACTGTGCACTCTTAAACAAAAACTTGAAGCAAGGCAGTGGCAAAACTTTGGAGATGGCCCGGGATATGTAAGTGTAAAGCACATCAAGCGACAAAAAGGTTACCAATTACCTTAAGCGTTAAACTTTCGGGACTAACTTTGCAGTTTTCCTCTGTGTTTACACAGTTTTCAAGTTGCTTGGATGTACAAAGAAGTGGAGGCGACTCACAGACTGAAGATGTATAATATAAATGGGGTGTTTCAACGTAGTGCACAATAAAGCTAAAAAAAGGTCTCGGGGTTGATTAGTCGCTGAGGAATGCGCCATGCATTCGACTTCAATAAGGAGCATTCGAGGTGATTGGATGATGCATATACGCATATGTGAATGCATATGTGGCCTTAACAATGACTCGCGGTGGCCTACCGATGTATCGAGCCAGTGCTGCCATCCTCCCAGACAAGTCTGGTACCAATTTCCCGACCCCGGAATGATGAAAGGCGTGGTGGGCAATGGGTGTGCGGATCGATCCCAAGTGTACTGCGGAACGCCTCCGACCACTGCACTACACCCACCCAGTGTACAATAAGGATCTATAGTAGATTTATAAGGCCTCTTACCATCATTTAGGCAACGCTCAACTTCAGAATTCATAAAGCACTGTTTGGCTTTCAACGCAGTTGGTTTAATATCTCCATGTGATAGTGTTTCGGCTTCTGGTGCAAGTACAACACTGAAAATCCGACCCAAATCGATTAGTTGGAAGACTTGAGGAAATAATACATACCCGAAGTCCTCAACAGCTTCTTTGAGATTCAACGCTGCCTTCTGAAGATAGGCGATTGTTCTTGTGCTGATAATCCTAAGTTTATGCAATTTTCGCTGGAAAAAAGTACTTGCAACTTAGCAGAACTACATGATTACAGTTAAATTTTTAGATATATTTGTCAAAACTCTCTCGATCCATCAAGTTCCCCGTTACAAAGGAACACAATTGAAATAGAGCAACTTGTGCAAAACTCTATTCATTCTGAGAGCACTTGGTGGTTGTGAACACCAAAGTAGCTACTAATTTTACAATGTCTACTTTAAAAAAAGCCCTCGGTGCTGATTAGTCCCTGAAGGAAGCGCCATGCATTCGACTTCATCAAGCATCGTTAGAGGTGATTAAATGCATATGTGGCCTTAACAATGACTCGCGGTGGGCTACCGATGTATCGAGCCAGCGCTCCCATCGACCCAGACAAGTCTGGTACCAATTTGCCGACCCCGGAGTGATAGAAAGCGTGGTGAGCCTTAGGTGTGGGGATCGGTCCCAAATGTACTGTAGGGCGCCTCCGACCACTGCACTACACGCAACCCATTGCCTACTTTCAAGAGGTTTTTTCGAACACGGCAATTTCATACATCTCTTCAAGTTAGAAGAGCATATTATGGAACAGGATATGAGATAGTCCTGTAAAGACGCACCTTGACTCGTTCTTCTATCAAAGCATCGACGAGATGGCTATCATCCATATTTTCACGATCACAGAGTTTTTTCTTTAACAGAGCATTTTCTTCTCTCAGTGCATCAATTGTTCTATTACTGTTTCGGATTTTTGCCTAGAAAAACGAAGAAGTTGTACCAAAAATCATTAAAAAGCTAGCAATTCCCCATCAAAGTACAAGGATCTTCGCAATAACACAGTAGTTACGCTCTACTAGAAGGTTTACCACAACATTGTATGGGCGTTCTTTGGTGTCGAAATGCGATTTATAGCTAGAAGTTAGCACTACCAAAAGGTACTGCCAAATCAAGGGGTTCGAGATATCCACTCGGAGGCATAGCCAACAGCAAACCGGTGCGTGATCGGTTATAAAGCTACTTTTCCACCAGCAAACGGTAAAAGAGACCAAAAATATTAGGCAGTGAAAAGGATATGAAAGTATAAGGTTCATTTGAGTGGTCGGCTTTAACGGTGGGCGTGGACTACAGGTGGTACGGGTGAATGCATCCTCTAGTACTACCAGAAAAGCCTAAACTCTTGAATTGCGACTAAATAGAAGCATGAACACCACTTCACGTCCTCGAACAATGAGTCAGAAATCAGCAATTGAAAGCGTTCTGACCAGGTAATGTATGTGAAGAAAGCCGTTTGGTTAGAATCTCTTTCAAATCGCTGTACCAGTTCAGTCCTCTATTGAATTTGTTACCTAATCTCTCTCAAATATAACCTCATTGAAGGAACAAAGGGGCTCACTGACAATAACGACTAATACAACTGCATAAAGACTGAGAATTACCTCAAGTTGATGAATCTTCATAATAAGAGACTGATTAGACTTTACATAGCTGTCCCTTAACAGACCTGAAAATTTTCATACACCATACATACATAATACAATTACGAGATGAAATCCTGCTGAATACAAGACACTCCATACCCTTGGTTCCATGACTCACGTCGACGTTCACGGATGAGACTTTCGAAGTTCGTGACTCCGACGATCCGAAAAACGCTGCTAAATCGTGTTTGCTAGGTGTAAAAGACATTGAAGGTGGACGACTGTAAAACCAGAGGTAATATTATGAAAACACCGTGTAAAAGAAAGGTACCCTTCTGTACTAGGCAGCGGACAGATAGGGAGCAAAACACGCGGAAGGGTACAAGATAGTGGCCTTCATATCTTCAAAAGAGCCGCCATCTACGCTTGTCCCGTCAACTCGTCCCGACGTCCCTCGTCTGTTGGGATCGGACCAGTGGTGGTGGAGACCCGAAAGAAGCCAGAGCGAGGTCCTTGTGGTAGTTCTTAGTAAACTGCACGATGCAGTGGGTACCACAACCTATTCGGCCAAACGTTTTCTGCATAGGTTAGATCCGCTTTACAGAGGAACAGAAGATGATAGTCTACATTTCCTGTGCCCAGGAAACATAAAATTGGCATGTTAACGGCAATTGAAGGGTTTTTTTGTCTCACTTTCCATATGGGTTCTGATTGGTCAGAACCTGCTTTCCACAATGAGCGGTCGTCGCGCCCGCCCCCCGCCCTGCAGTCACGTCCGAGTTTCCGTGCTTTCCGCTCTAGGCGTTTATCACAACTTGTACCACCTGTGCCACTTGTCCCACCGTCGACTGAAGGGTGAGGTTGTCGTTGAAGTCTGAATTTATCCCTTTCGCATCCAAGAATACCTCAGCAGGTTCTGTTTACTTTGGCTCCTAGAGTGGCATGTTTGCCTTCCGGGATCTTCGTGAAGAATTCTGACCATCGGATTAGAGTGGTCTTCTAGCTGTGCGTTTAAAATCTCACGAGGCATAGTCGCTAGCTTCTGTTACTCATTCTATAAAATATAATATTTACTTGCTTGTGTTCGAATGCTTTGTGGAATGATTTTTATGTCGTTTTGATTGATTGGTGCGTCGTTTCTTGCTTTTTCTTTTTGCCATTGTTTGAGGAAGAAGATTCACTTCAGTGGTGATGGCTCCACCTCCACCTCCTCCTGCACCACCACCATCGCTACTAATCGCCCCTGCCTCTAGCACCGGTGTTCCTGAACATGGGAAGAAGCCAGCTGCATTGCTTGCTGAGATCCAGGTCGTACTTTTAAATTATACGTTCGACTCGCTTAAGGTGTTTTCATTCGACTCTGGTTACGAATGGATTTGAACGAGTTTTCGTGGTTGTGTGCTTGTTCTGTTATATTTCTGCGGATGCAGATAGCCCGTGTTCTGAATTGACCAGGATTGCCATCACTTCGGAATGTTTCCGTAGTTGAATGCGAGGCGCGAGGCCCAGTAAAGTTGTATTGTTTTGTGAATATGACAAGAATTCCATCTCCTGTGGAACATTTTACACATCTCGAAACTATGGACGAATTTCGAAACAGACCTTTCTTTAACCTCAGTATGAGTAGTCAATATATATTCTTTCTTTGATAAGCTTACACGTGATTGATATACAATCTTTATTCCGCTAACGTTTCGACAGTTTCGTCTTCAGCAGAGCCGATGATCTGAGTCAATGGTCCACAGTTGCTGAAGTTGTTGTCATCGGCTCTGATGAAGACGAAATCGTCGGTCGAATAAACATTGTACATCAACCTTGTGTAAGCTTATCAAAGGAAGAATACATATTGACGAATTGTCTACTTTGTTTATCTGCGTCCTGTGTAGAGCAACGTTTTGTGCCTTTCTCTTTGTGTCTTTCTCTACCTACCTCTCAATCGAACTTTATTTCACTACCTATTTTTAGTGTCGTTTTGATAAGAAGAATAGGTTACTATAATGCCAGGCGAGAGTTAATTCACCATTGTTGACCAATCATGCCATTTCAGAGGGGAGCTAAACTCAAAAAGGTGGTTACAAATGATCGTTCGGCTCCGCTGATAGGAGAAAAGTCTAGCTCACCATCAAGGTGTGGGCTTACCTTGTCCAATCAGTTGGAAAAGGAGCCGAAACCTGGTTTGTTTTCACCGACAGCTTTATACGTCTTTTACGAAAACTATTGTTATGTTGTAGGTAGCGGCGGTGGGGCTCGTGTCGCCGGGAACAATGGAGTCAGCATCGGTAACTTGTTCGCAAATGGCGTTCCTTCAAAACCAAGTGAAAATAAATTTCTGCGTGCGAAGACATCGACTTCGACTCCTATAGTACCTTCTTCACCGTCATCATCCTCACCAATTCCTTCCGGAGAAAGTGATTTTTTAATCATTTTTTTTTGCACTTTCAAATGGCGTCGTGCTTTCGAGAAGTGGATTTGCAAAAGTTACCTCGGGCTGGGCTTTCTCTTGGTTTACAATAGTGCGTTTCCTGTTTAATTTAACCAGGATGTTTACAATTTTGCTTTTTGATTCCTTTCCATGCTCGAAGATGGCTTAGAAAACTTAACAGTAATGTATGGGTCCTTTCTGCTCTGTGAAGCATGGGGACAGGCTTTACCAAATATCGCAACCACTTGGAATTATGTTCGTATTTTTTTTTGAGCAAACGCGAGGTGTTATTGTTCTTTGTTCACGATTAAGCTGACGTTTCGGCGAATTTCGCCTTCTTCAGAGCCGCTTTCTATGAGGTCTCCACTAAGTATGTCACGTAGAGACCAACCGCACAGAAATCACGTGGAAGTATAATGTGA